CCTCTGGACAGGTGAGGCCGGGGCTTCTCTGACCAGGGGGGGGGGGGGAGGTGAGCCCGCGGGTGTGTTTTGGATTGGCCCAGAGCCCTGTGTCAGGCCAGAGAGGACGAGGCAGCTTCAAAGTGCCGGCCACAGCGGCCAGCAGCCGCCACTCACTGCGACTGGAGAGCCCGGGAGACCCATCGGGGCTCCTCTGGACAGGTGAGGCCGGGGCTTCTCTGACCAGGCGGCAGGGGAGCCGGCGTGGGGGCCAGAGGACCACGCCAGGGAGACGCACTCTGGAGCCGCGGAGGGGATGGGGTCCCCACGCAGAGGTTCTCAAGGGGCATCGGGCCGTGAGAGAGGCTGTTTCTGGCTGCCGGATGACAAGGGACGGCATCCAGTGGGCACGAGCCAGGGGTGCTGATGTCCCCAGGCCACGGGCAGCACAGTCTCTCACAGTAAAGAGGTGTCATGACATACGCCAAAATCCAGCCCTACTGAGAAACAAGAACATAAGCTGCAAGGGTGGAAAGAGAAGTGGAGAGGCCTGGGGCTGTACACCCCAGATCTCCAAGGACTAGAGGGCAGGAGGTGGGAGGCAGGAAGCGCCTTCAAAGGCAAATGGAAATGACTTCTCACAGGCACCTGCCTGTCCGTGACGCAGAGAGGTCAGTCTCTGGGTTCTCAAAAGCAACTGCCTGAGGTAACCTGCTGCAGCCCTGCACCCAGCTCTGGGTCATGCAAGCTGGCCAGGGGCACCACATGGGTGGTGTAAAGGGCAGAGAGGTGAGACCGCAGCCGCAGTGACCGGCGGCCTGGACGAGACCCAACTCTGAGAGCGGGCAGCATTTGAAGACGCAGGGCGAAAGCGGCGTCTCAGGGCGAATGACGTCTAGAAGCCGCACGTTCCTCAGCCCTGAGCCAGGAACCTGCCATCCGTCTCCTCACAGCCTCCCCGCCACGCCAGGAGCTCTGTGGCTCAGGAGACCGGTCAGGCAGCATTCCAAGTTCTCAGACTGGGTGCCCTGGACTCCAAAGCAGGAACCCCTCGGCCTTGGTCTCCCAGCACATTCTACAGAGACCCTCCAGCCCGAAACTGAAAGGCCGCTCTCCGGAACAGACACCCCGACATTGTGGGGGGGGCTTACCCGGGGCAGCTGGTCCCACTGTTCTTTGTTCTTCATCTCCTCTTGCACTTCATGAATCCGCTTCAGAGACTCCAGACTTTCATCGAGCAAAAATGTCGTGTCATTTATCAGCATATTTATATAGCGCACAAACTGCTTCCCAGAGCTGAAAGGCAATCATTGTCCGTGGTCAGACACCCCGAAGCGAAAGGCGCCTCAGAGCCCGGCGAGGATGGACGGGCCTCCTCCCCCTGCTGGGCTGCCTGCTGGGCACGACGCGGGCGCTGCTCAGGCCGGGATGCCAGGTCTCCCGAGGCCGTTACCTTTTTGCTTCAGCTCCAGTGGGCTCGTCCCCGGGGCCTGGGGAGCCGCCCTGTGGCTCTGGAATTCTGTGAGCAGAACCCCATGGCAGCTGACATTTGGCCACACCAGAGGTATTTACACTCTGGAAAATCAGCAAATAACTGGATGTCCCCTTCTCCTGAGAGCAGGCTTCTCAGTATGCCCAGGCTCATTCCCTCAGGACTTCCTAGGCTTTCAGACTAGAACATGCCTGAGCTCACCAAGAGAGCACAAGCAGCTACCCACAGCAAGAGACACACGACTGAGGCCGGCGTTTCCTTGTGACAGACGCACTGACCGAAGCGGCGGGAGGGCGGAGGGCTGCGGGAGGACGTGACTTACCTTCGAGGGCCTGAAGCCGCCAGTCTGTGGCCGTCCTGCACCTCCTGCTCTACCGAGGTGGCTCGGCCTACCTTCGCTAGACGGGAACCGTCAGCCCGGCACAGAGGAGCTGCGCGGCAGGGCCTACCCCTGCGTGCCCGGGGAAACTCGGGCCAGTGTCTGCAGACAAGGGCAGGCGGCCTGACCTCGGAGCATGCAAAGTTCAGGAAAAGTCCGGTCCTGACGGCCCATCAGCACCCTGCAGCTGCAGCCACGGGCTGAGCGCTCGCCAGCCTCCTCCTCCGACAGCTCCGGCGGCAGGAGCAGCCCATGGACAGAGGCGCGCAAGAGCTACCCCGCAGGGCGCCGTCGAGCGGACGCTCCTCTGCCGCCGACAGGCTCGCTGCGGACCGGCAGCCCCATTCACAAGCCAGTGATGGTGGAATATCGAATGTGGGTTGCAAAGGGTCCAACTAGACAGGACAAAACGGCCTCTGAAGAGTATTTCCATTTCCCATTGTTCTCAAACCACTTTAACTTTTCAGTACATCAGATGGGGTTACAAGCTCCCAGGGTTAAGTCGTCACTGAAATTTCAGGCAGGTGACAGAGCCTCTCATCACCGGTTGGCCTCACGATAAGAACAGCACTCAGACAACTACGTCGTTGCTTCAAGGTCTCAAGTCCTCTCAACCTTTCTAGCACTGAAGCTCGGTGTCATATTCCAGAAACTGTAAGGTCTAATCTTAGCCACCCCTGTTTACACTGTAATCATAGAAACACACACACACCATCTCAGAACAGCTGCAGGGGCTTGCTTTTTTAAAATTTATTTACGCACAGAAGAACTGGGTGTAGGCTGGAGGTGTGGGGGTAAGAGGACTCCCCAGAGACAGAGTGGGGAGCAGAACAGGAAGATCTATTAAAATCCACTGCTGAGGGGAGCAGCAGGGAGACAGGAGCGGTCTGCCGCGCCCTGGGGGTCGCTCCCTGGCCGGGGATGGACTCAGGCCGCAGTGGTGGAAGTGCTGAGACTCAGCCTGACTGAGTCACCGGGGAGGCCCTGCACAAGATCTTCCTTCACCCGACCCGTCCCTAAAGCACCTCAACAGTGAAGCTTCAGGCTGAGCAGACAGTGCACCAGCGAGGCTCAGCAGCACCTGGCTGGCACAGACCTTCCGAGAGCCCGGCTCACATGGAGCAGCCTGCGACCAGCGAGGGCGAACCCGGCCTCAGGGCCTCCAGCCGCCACCCACTGTGATCTGCAAAGAAGCCAGCTGAGGCGTTAGTGGCCTGTACTCACTTGAACTCCTCCATAAAGGTGCCGTGGTGAGCTATGTTCTGCCAGAGACTTTTGAAAATGGTGCTGATGTGGTAGCGAATGGTGAACTTGTCGTAGAACTCGCTGGTGGCTCCGGTATGCTCAACATCTGAAGGAGAAAGACAGATGGGCTGAGGCTGCTTTCTTAGCGTCCCGAAAATCAGAACCAGGTATGAAACTGCACCTGCACCTCGCAGGTAAGCAGCAGAGGAAGCAGGAGGCAGCTCTGGAGACACAAGGTGCACAGATGCCTGACAGTGACACGAGACCAACATGAACTGGGCTGGGAAGTCCCTGGCATCATCGGGACAGCATCCACCGCCCCGACTTCATTACAGAAATTTATAGAAATTCCACAGCACTTTAAATGAGCGTCCCTGGCCTGAGCAGAAAAAAAGTTGGTTAAGTTTTATTAAGGGCCACACTCCCTGTTCAACGGGGTGATGTTTTAAATATTTCTGCTTAAGGAACATTTTCAATTGTGCACCAAGCAGAGCAAAGCAGTGGGCGCCAGGCGGTCACCACGCAGTCCCACTGCCGGCAGCCACGCTCCTGTGAAACGGGCCAGGCACCCTCGGCTCCCCAATGACAGAGAACTGGCACTTGACAAAGTCCTACACTCACCAGGGGCTCAGAGGGAAAACTGTCAGGTAAAGACCAGAAGGCGTAAGACAGAAAACTGGGGTACAGGCCAGAGATGTGGGGCAGGGAGCAGATTCCCCAGAAACAGACGGGGGAGCAGAACAGGCGGATCCCCTGAAACCCACTGCTGAGGGGAGCAGTGGAGACACGGGAAAGGTCTGCTGCACCCTGTGGGTCCCTCCCTGGCTCCGGGGACCAAACTCAGGCCACAGTGGTGACAGTGCTAGGGGGTGACAGACTTCACCCCCAGGCCAGCATCCCTAGGCCCTGAACAACAGTTTGTGATTTCTGGATTTCCCACTTTTCTTGTGACTAGAGAACAGAATATTTAAAAATAAAAGAGTCAGATAATTCACACCTACCATACAAAGACCTGAAGGCACTTACATGTGCTCGTTCGGTCAACGGCTCTCACCTTATTGATTATGTCGGAGTGCTGGGCGCCAGCGCAGAGAGCGGACTTAGGGGGCCTACGGGGAAGCGCCCGCACGGCCACTGCACCCCCACGCACCGAGCCCCAGCACGCGAGCAGGCCTCCCCGCCGGTCGTGGGCACAGCCCTCCAACGCCGGCTTTGCTCACACCCATTCTCGCAACGCCGCGCCTCCGCGCTCACGTGCGCCCGCAGGTCGTGTCCTGCCGACCCCTCAGCTGCCGGGAGCCCAGGCGTCCACCCTGCCGTCCCCGCCCGCACGCCTCCACGAGGCTGACTTGCCTTCCAGTAGCTCCCCAGCCGTGTCCGCAGGGACCCTCCTCGGAGGCCCGCGCCGGCCCCCCGCAGCCTGGTGGGGAAGCCTCCCGCCAGAAGTCCGACCCTGCGGGAGGGCGCCACAGGTGTGCGAGTTCCTGACGGCTGCATCTCCTGCGGGCGGCTGCCCTCGCTGATTCAGGTCAGCTGGAAGCAGAACAGTCTGCACCCAGCCTTGGTGGGCGGGACCGCCCAAGATCGAGCGCTCCTGCTCCAGGAACCGACCGCTGCGGTCCAATCACGCTCTCCTGTTTTAAAATTTCATACCACTTTTCTCACAAAAAGCTGAGCTATGGCCCTTTCCAAGGTCAACATCCCCCTTGCATCTGAAGTCAGGACCAAAGCCTGCAGGTCCCAGCCGGGGGCCGCTGGCAGCGGGGTGTGTCTGGGTCACCCGCTTGGGCTCTCGGGCCCCTCCAGGAGCACAGAAGGCACAGCCCAGCCGTCAGGGGCACCTGTGCCAGAGCCCAACTGCTGAGCGGCGGCCACTTGCTAGCCGTGACCTCCAGCCAGCTGCTTGACCTTCTTGAGCTCCAGTTTCCTCCTTTGTAAAATGGAGATATTTATAGTGACCGGCTTTGGGACCGCTGTGCGGATTCCGTGGTAGGATTAGTAAGTGTTCGATACGTGGTGGTTAATATTAGCATGGCTAGCGTCTAGCCGAGACTCCGGAGGTGGCCCAGGCCAGAGGGCAGCCGCTCGGTGGCAAAGCAGGAAGGAGACCAGCCCCTGGTCCTTATCTGTGGGACCCACTACCTCAGCACTGGGCTCACGCACCCTTAGCCCCGGCCC